GAAGTCACTTATCGCTCTACCTCGTTGTGAAAACTCACTAGGTAGGTATGTGTCCATTTCTCGCATTCGTTCATCTACAGCTGCTAACTCCGCTGGCTTCAAAACCGGCTGAGTGTACTCCGACTGCTCCATGGGACTTATCCTTCCTTTCGGATAGACAGGACTAATAGAGTCGTTCCAAAAACAAGCAAGGGACATTTCGGAAATTTGCCGGCCCCATATAACAATATCCTAGGTGCAAAGGTTATACTAGTCCGACCTAGAACCAGTATAGAACCTTTGCACCTAGGACATTGCCATCAGGGTAGCAACTTACGTCTATTTACCGTCTAAGGAATCTCTATTCATACAGATTCTAATATTTACTTGATATTTATTTTGAACAGTACAATAGATATCTATTGGAGCGCTACAGATTAAAAGCATCGAGATGTTAAACTGACGTATAGTTATCTGTCGGATAATTATCACAAGATGTTCCGCGTATATTTTGAGAATAGGTTTTACCACGATGTAAGCTAGATTGCCAACTGCCGACCGTATACGTATACGCATTTGCAGCCGCTAGCTGACTACTCAAATAACAATTCGAGTTCGACTGGAATTCGAGTCGACTATAGTTGACTAGTCACTGATAGCAAAACCAATGCACAGCGTGCCCATCAACAGCGGTAATATAACGTCAGTCAGAGGGGATGGGCAACCATGCATCTCTTTACAGTTCGCCTATCTACGCGCTATGCGGCTTATCCAAGTCAGTCAAAATAGCCACACCATCATTCTAACCCTCTCAAGTGATTCCCGCAGTTCATAAGCCCAGACATGCCTTGCTTACACTTCGACCTATCTCCCTTTTCCACCCGTGAGACGGCTGCACCGGGGGCGACAACTTCGACAAAGAAACATCGATAAACCTCAGGCTTCTTGAGAGAAGCCTTTAACGTGCGCCGATGCAATTTTAGGCACTGTGCCTACGATTATACGTCAACTTTTGTTATCAGGGGGTCTCCAACCTCTGAAGACCTACATTTTTATTTGAAACTAATCCGTAATCTTGACTGCGTAATATGGATGTTTTCGGATATTCTTAGATTTCATTGAAGTCACTTGCTTGAAGTTGTCACTATGGAGTTTAATTTCCTCCTACATTGTTCATACATGTAAATTTTATGTAAGCCTGTTAATTCTTGCTCATTTTATTAAGTTATCTTCTGGTCTCAGTGAATGGAGCCATTTTTACCGAACATTTGGATGCTTCTTTCAAAATAAAGTATATTCCTCTTTTCATCCTGCTGAAAGTTTTATTTCTTCCAGGTCATTGAAGTACTTACTGTAGCAATTCTTGTTGACTTTCGCCAACCGCAATTCTTCTTTGCAATCACCGTCTTCCCAGAAGCTGCATATTTCTTCTTCAAATAACGCGGAGATAGTCAATCGGTCTCATCGACACACACACACAAGACTTTCGTGCACATTTTGCAATCTTCTACAAGATACATTTCTCAGGATTCTTTCATTGGGATTCATTTAACCACATAAGGTGACTTATCTTCTCGAACAAATATGTCGATTCTGTCGTCCTTTTTGCCAGTGCTCACTATTCTGCTTGCTTTGGAGCAAGCTGTTAACAGCATTCTTGATGGCTGCCCCATACAAGTGAGTGTACTTCTTAGGTATAAATCCTGCAAGGTTTTTGATGTGGTATCCTAGTAACCTTAGGTGCTTTGAACTTAATGCGCCACTACTACCTTTTGATTTTTCCTGCTTTTTCCAGAGAATTGTCTTTATTCCATTTTTTTCCTTTCAGACGAAGAGACTTGTTAACAGTAGCAAGGAATAACGTTTGCACTATTCTGCTTTAATTTGCAGCCCTGCAGCATCAGCAAAAGACACTTATCGTTAAGAATTTGATCCAAGTGTTTCATATACTTTAAGAAGTTAGTATTTTTCGCGTATCTCCACTAAGCATGTTCATTTTTGATTTCGTAATGCCTGAGCTTTACGGAGCCTGGTTTTGCAGACTTCCAGAGTCCAACAGATGTGTAGTGTATACCGGATAGTCGAGCCAGGAATAGCGTTCGTACACATATTGTTTGGAGAAAAATGTGCAGTGTGCACTTCTGAAGTTACAAAACAGCTCGAACAGGCAGTTACATATCTGATAAATTCGGTTCCTCGTCAGAATGACGCACAAAAGCCGGTGGACTTGAAGTAATAATTTGTGGGAAGCAGATGATAGTCTTAAGAGAACACAACAACTAGTGCAACGGCAAATGCGTTTGTAAAAATCCTTCAACCTTTTCAATCTTATGAAAGGTAAAAGAAACTAACATACACAAGCAAAGTGCAAGTAAGTACAAGTACAAGTATACACAAGCAAAT